TTGGAAGAGCTCTTTGAGGCCGGCCAGATCTTCAGTGAGTTGAACCTTTCTCTTGGGTGTTCTTGATCCCCTCCTGCTTCCAGTTCCATTTTCTGCAGGGTCCAGTTTCTGTTCTGGAGTTTCCGTAAATGCTCTGATGTTTTTATCATCACCAGATGTGTTCACTGGCTCTGGTTTTGGAGATTTGTGGGTTATTTTGAAGGTTTTGTCATTATTCACTGGTTCCACTGTGCAATTTGGTGTTTGGAAGAGCTCTCTGAATCCGGCCAGGTCTTGTAGGGGTTGGACCTTTCTCTTCGGTGTTCTTGATCCCCTCCTGCTTCCAGTTACATTTTCTATAGGGTCCACTTTCTGCTCTGGAGTTTCCTTAAATGCTCTGATGTCATTATCACCACCTGGTGAGTTCACTGGCTCTGGTTTTAGAGATTTGTGGGGTATTTTGGTGGTTTTGTTATCAGTCACTGGTTCCACTGTGCGATTTGGTGTTTGGAAGAGCTCTTTGAATCCGGCCAGGTCTTGTAGGGGTTGGACCTTCCTCTTTGGTGTTCTTGATCTCCTCCTGCTTCCAGTTACATTTTCTACTGCGTCCAATATCTGTTCTGGAGTTTCCTTAAAGAATTCGGTGATTTTATCATCACCTACTGCTTCTCTATGTGAGTGTGTGGTTTCCTCTGGTGTCTGTGTAGACTTCCTGAGTGCTGACAGCTCGTCTACATTCACTTTCTGGGAAGGTGTTTTGATGCATGCATTCATCTTGGCTGGCGTGCTCACTCGGTCTGGTTCTGGAGATTTACAGTGCTTCACGGTGGTTCTGTTTTCCACATCCACTGGTTCCTTGGCATGACCTGGGGTTCCGAAGAGACTATGGGTGTCCACCAGGTCTTCCTTGGGTTCTGTCTGTTGCAGTCTCTTGGGGGTGATCAGGTCTGCTCTTTGTGCACATTTCAGCTCTGAAGATCTTCTTGACCTCTTCGCAGCTATCATCTTTTCAGAATTTTCTTTTGATTCGATGTTTTTGTTACATGTTTCAAAGGTTCTTTCATTTTCCTTCATCTCTTCCTTTAGTTTCTCTTCTTGTTGTGTTTTCCTCCGATGTCTTCCCAAGATGTTCTCAGTAGTGTTGGCCTCTGCATCTTTGTTCTCACAGTCTGCACCTGGCACCTGTGTATTTCTGAGCTCCATGGACCTTCTGAACTTGTTTGTATTGGATGCCACCTTTGGAGGCTCTGCCTCAGATGGCAGAGTTTTCCTATTTTCTTTTACTGCAAAACAGTGTAGTTTTAAGGCCGGGCTCGCAGAGCTTTTATAAGACGTCTGTTTTGGTGCATTCTGAGTACTGGGGAAAACATCGTCTCCTATAAGAAATGAAAATATACGTGATCGATATACTCTGTTCACTGTGTTATTCCAATCTGACATTTTATCCTCATGAAATATTGTTTAAGAGCCAATAATTCAGCCTCCTATCCACCTGACTAAAAATAGGAATCTGCTTATGTGGCCGTAAGTCTGTCTTATGTATCATCCATGCATTCTTAAGAACAATGTTATTTGGTATTATATACTGAGGGTCACTCATAGGTGGTTAGGCTCTAAAGGGATTAGATAACAGAAAAAAAATCCTTAAGAAGGGTGCCCTGAAGGCTGTCACGCCATGTCTCAGGGACCTTAATATAGGCATTTTTTTCTTCAAACATGAGAAACACCAGTTTCTTCTTTTGAACCACCAGTGCAATAACATGGCTTATACTTAGTCCACTTAGAGTCCAGGTCATACAGGAAACATCTACCTTTTAGCTATAGGAAGCATCTTCAGTGTAACAAGGTATTCCCTCTACAACAACTCGGTACTAAATGAGAGTAAGACAGACTTTCGTGTCCCATCTCACACTCACACTGGGACATTCCCATCCAGGTGAGCTGGAATAACTGCACAGTGTGTGCACTGTCATCTTTCTCTTTGTAATTTACATGTAAGTATGAGAGAGCATTACACTTTTCTGCGTATCACCCTCTTTACTTATACTAAATGAAGAGGGCAATAGTGTGCACAGGTTGTTGGGGTATTCCTTTTCACAAAAGTCTCTGAATGCCAAGGCTTGTGCAGCACCTGATAGGAATTTCCCCTAAAAATAATAGAACAGAGATGCTGGAAAAGTTATTTTACCAGGAGTACCTATTGTAAAGAAATAATACAATATCTGTTGTCAAAAAATAATACCATCCACAGTTCCTATTGAAGACATTCAAGCACTAAAGAAAATTTAAAAAAGTAAACCAACCAAAATTTTCTGGGGTGCATAGCAGAGGTTTTTCTTCTGACTTCAGTACTTGAAACTTTTTCCTATGGAAATCCTCTGAATTTGAAAAAGAGATGGGACATATGCTCATCGCTTGTGGCTTCTCTTTTGCTGGTGTCTTGAACATCTCAGTTAGCCCTGTTATATGAAAATGTTGGAAAAGCCATTAATACATTGCTCACACTTGCAAACAACCATGCCAGTTCTCACACAACAAAGGAATCACTCCCGAGCATTCCTGGGGATGGTGGGCGGGGAGAGTCTCATAGAAGAGGGTGATGTATTAATAATAAACTCATTTTTTTTAAGAGGACAACGGGGAAGTTAGAATCTTTTATGTCCTCTTCTTTGCCTTTCCTCTGGAAGGAAAACCAAATGAAGGAAGTTGTCTGCAGTCTCCCAATGTTGTGAACACCGGCTGGAGGACAGAGGCCGGCCCCCGGTGCCTCCCCTCCAGGCGTCCAGAGACCCAGTGCTCTTGTGCTGCCTTCAGAAAGTCCTAGGTTATGCAGCTCTGGAGTTTATGTAGAAATAAAATATCCCCAAATTTTAAAAAATGGCATAGGGCTGCCCATTTTTAGTATTGTCAAGTAATATAATATCAGCATTTTTTGACCCAAAAAGTTAGTAGCAGCATAAGCTCAGAAAACAAAGAACATAGAAGAGGGTCAAGGGGATCAAATATATGGTGATGGAAGGAGAAATGACTGGGTGGTGAGCACACAATGTGAAATACAGATGATGTATTATAGAATTGTACACTTGAAACCTATGTAACTTTGCTAACCATTGTCATCCCAATAAATTTAATTAAAAACAAAACAAAAGAACCATACAGTAAATGGACAATGTAACTTTCTGAACAACTTGTATTATCTCATGTTCTCATTCCGCCATCGATGGATGAAAACACTGTCGGGCATCCGTCTGCATATTGTGTTTGGGAAGCCTGTTCTGAAGGCTCCCAAACCAGCCGACTTCCTTAAAAATCCCTCTGCCACCGTTTAGGCCTTACTTAAAACACCAAGGATTTAGTTTTCAGCCCATGTGGATGTTTTGTTATGAAAGTTATCACACCAAGGGGTGGCTGCTGTCGAGTCTGTAGGCAAGTGTCTTAGAAGAAGGCTGAAAAAATCCACTGTCTTGAGGCCTGAGTATGTAAATTCTACTTACTTTATCTTAAAATATTTTTGAGGATTTGTTTTCACCGCTTCATAACATATATTAGAACATTCATACATGCCCGTAATTTACAAGGTCACACCAATATGCATATAGCTGCATATCAGGTGCTGTATGTTCAACATTTTCTTACTCATGGAGCTTGCTATCAAAACTTTGGTTACCACTGTTTTATATTCTTGTGTTTTTTTAAAAAAGGAAATGCATTGAACCAAATGTGTCTCTAACTGGACAGTACCCTATGTGGGTTATACACAGACAAAGAACAACTCTTCCATCTTAAAATCTGCGAGGAATAAATACAAGATTCCACCCAATGGACTCCAGTCTCACCACCCTCCAAAAGGCTCCAAAGTGGAAACCACTGGTCAAGCTCCGTAAATGAAATGCAAGCCCTGAGTTCTTGCCATGGTTCTAATCTGGGACAACCATAAGCAAGTCACATCCCACTTTTACCTAGAATCGCAACACTGGCTCAACTCTCAATGCATAAAGGTAACCTTTTCACAGGCCTTGGTTCCACAAAAACATTTAAGCTACAAGGAAGGAAAGGAAATCTTAAAGAAGCAAAATACTGCTCAACCCAATTGTCCCAACTCTGGGGCAGTCGATTGGTATAAACGCAAGGAAAGCAGAATTGAAAGAGTTAAGTGTGTGAGCTCTGAGCAACAGGGTTACTGGTTCAATTCAAGGCCCGAGCTGAGCTGCCAACAGGTGGCAGGATGGCTCAGCTAAAAAAAAAAAAAAAGAAAGAGTTAAGTGTGCTTTCTTCACCTAATGCAGCTTCCAGCCTCCTATACCTGTGTTGCTCTCCGAGGGGCAGACATGCAGTTACCTCTCATACCTGCTTCTATAGGACATGTGACCCCCAAATCGTCAGGGGTCTGTCCCTGTTCTCCGATCCAGCTTTCTCTTCCTTGACCATCGTGACCCCTGGAGGTTGACTGTATTGTTTATTCTCCCGACCCACTCACAGCAGATAAACAACAGCAGCACCCACCCATACCTCACACACAGGAGGCTTGAAGGGCTATGGTTTCTAAGGGCGAAGGCTATGTTTTACCTGAGAGGTCTTCATTAAAGTCGATTTTTTTGTTGAACATGAAGTTGTTCAGCATTCTGTAGGGCCGGGCTGGCACGTTTACTTTTTCGATGTGAGCTTTGCCTACTACGATGGTACAGGGAGAGTTTGCATGGCCTGTGCTAAATTGATTGTGAACACTGCCCGTAGGCTTCTGGAAAACAATCAGGAGAGCAACAAAACGTCAAAGCACAAAGCCACATTTAATGTGATTATAAATGATCTCATGTATAAAAGAGCGCTTCATATCGGAACACACACCTTTGGAGTATTAACTCTTTTTTGTCTTTTGTTCAGCTGTCTCCGTGGGCCGTGTTTAATGACTTTAGTTTGTGTTTGTTTGGCACTAAGTTTTACGACGTCTGCCCATGATTTTGCCACTGTTAAAAGGAAAAGATGTTGAAACTTTCCCAAATTAGCATTAATGAGAAAACTCCCCTTAAAAACACACTTGCTAATACGACACTAACCTATCAAGTTGGCCTCAGAGGCGCCACTCCGCCGCTTGGATTGAATCATCTGTAAGATTTCCTGCTGGCTGCGGTCCACGGACATCCTCTTGGAAGGCCCGCTGCTGCTCCTCCTCCCTTCCCTCTTAGGAGTATCTGTCTGCTGCGGAAACGCGCCGCCACTGGAGGCAGAAGATGGCTCGGATGACCTCCGGCGTTTGTCAGTTGCAGCCGGAGTTTTCACAGGATTACGAGCTGGCGAGCTCAGAAACACATTTTGTGCCGTCACCCCCAAATGGATTTCTGAAGGGTCTTCTTGTCCAGGTGGTTGAGATTGCTCCTGATGAGATTTAAATGTTCCTGAGAACCCTGACCACAAATATCACACCTTGGGGGTGAATGTTTAAGCCCCACCCAATGAAGAATTTTCGCTGTTTCAATGTTGAAGCACCAACACATTTCAACCACTGTCTGTAGAAAGATAAAGTGGGATCCTGTCCCCTTCACTTAACGAGAGAGAAAGAGGCAGAAAGCCACCAACAAGTCTTGATTGGGGAATTTCAGGTGGAAAGATGGGAGGAACCTCCTGAGGAGAGGTGAGTGCTCTGGTCTGAACCCAAGGCAACAGCATCCATGGGTGTGTAACCGCCTTTGGTCTGCTCACCTATGGGAGCCAGTGTGAGCCGGGAAGGAAGCAGACCTCCTTCCGCTGCTTTGGGTATGAAAAGGAACGAGAGATGGCGAGGCCCTGAGGAGGGCGAGCTGCAGGGCCACACCTTTCTAGAGAGCTGATATCAGGACAACACAGCCCAGGGGAGCTGATTCAAAGTTCTAGATAGCTGATGGTGAAAATCATAGGTGTGTTGCCACCCAAGGTTCCCCCTTTCATTTTATAATTCTGAAAAGAAAAAACAACCACCACAATTATGGTAATGTGTCATGATGTCACCAGATTCTTTTTAATTGGTTTTTGCTGTAACCCCAGTGACCTCTGGCCCTGTAAGTGGCCAGCAGGAGGCCTCTGCAGGAAATCATCACACCTAAGGGCTGACCTGTGCGCGGCCACTTTCCAGCCGTGGTTGGGAACCAGGTGCTGATTTTCTAACACCCACATCAGTGAGCTTATTTAGATGTTTTTACTTAGAAGATGCCTTAATTGTAATTCTGTTCATGTGAGGAGCACGGATGTGAATCATCAAGTGGGAGAAGAAAAGCTATGGAACGTACCTTGATGATTTTCTTCAGGACAGTTGTGGCGGTGTGGGTTACAAGAGACCTTCTTCTCATGGGTGTTTCTCCTCTCTTGACAGGTGTATTAGGAGGCAGGTTTTCATCAAATAACTCGGGTCTCAGATGGCCACCAAAGGAAACCCGCCTTCTTTTCAAGGGCATGCCCTCAATCATATCTAAAGCAATGAATACAAACATGGAGAGAGGAATGAGAACACCATACCTGTACTTACGACCTGTTTCAAATTGCTACTGAAGACAAACCAATGGTAAAGCTCATTGACCCTCATAGGACGACAGCTGTACCTTCACCCTGTCAGCTGATGAAACCAACGCTGCCTCAACAGCTCATGAGTTTGGGGTCAGAGCACCCAAACATCACGTCCCAACTGGACAGTACAGCAACGTTCTTTACAATGTTGAAAAATCCTGTGTGACCTAGGTTAATAAAGGGATTGGCCAGAAGCAGAGGCGCTACGTGCACAGCAGGCGCTGATGGGGCTGGAGGCGTTAGCAGGGGCGAAGACAACCTCCCACCTGGGCCTCACACGAACCCACCCCCAGCAGGACGAGCTGTGACTGCAGGCAATTCCCAGGCAGTTCACTTGATCCAAAACCCACAACACATCTTAGAACCACTTGTCAACACAAATCCTTGGCCGAGGGACGCGCCCTACTTGAGACGCATAGGGACATTGTGACTGATGTGCGCGGGCGGCATTTCTGAGCTACGCTGCACTGCGCACCCCAGCACAAACTAAGCCCCAACAGTCAGAGCTGCATCAGATGCCCGGAAAGCCTGCAAAGTGCAGGATGCCCAGCGGCTGCCAAGCCCGGAGAGGCCCTCCCTCGGCCACCCACTGCCTGACGTTAGGCTGTCAGTCTCCCCATTTGCCAAGTGGAGATAAGGACACCTGTGCATAGGCGCTCCCGCACAGTGTGCAAGCCCGTACATCATGCAGCCCAGCCCAGCACACCGTGCAGTGTTTCCTAAGAAGCTGCTTGTACCAGACTCTGACAACAGTGTGACTATTTGAGGGCCACCCTGTAAGAAAAGATTTCCAAGGGGTTTCCGATGCCTTAATCTAGAGGATCAAACTCTCAGGACACACTTGTTCGGAATCAAACCTGTGCAAAGCGATTGTGCACATTCTCCTGTCTATGTTGTTCTAGATGCAACAGGAGAATCAAATGTGTTTGGGCCACTACCTCCTTAGACCCCCCCCCCGCCAAATCCTTCCCTAATCTGCACCTCCTCTCACTCCCTGTTGTGGTCATCCAGGCCTTCAGCGCCAAGCTCTTGAGTGGACAGTGACCACGGCTATCTCACGGTCCCCTTAGCGCCTTGGGGATTCTCTACCCCAGAGCGAATCATTATGGAATAAAGGCCTCATTAATTCTCCTCCAGACCCAGGGTAGATGTGCACTTCCGGGGGAAAATAAATTTAGTGACATAAACTCACTCGTGGAATCGCCCACGTTGCTGACGTCCACTGAGCGAAGGCCTGGCGAGCCGGGGCACCGCTGTCCCGCCGGAGCGCCCAGCGGCCCAGACGTGCTGAGGGCTCCATCTGGCATCTTCCTTTCCTTTTGCAGGAGCAGCGGAGCGAACGCCGTTTGCTTCTGGATTTCTGCCTCTGTATTAAGAACGTCAGCATCTGCAGGCACGCTGCTCCTCCGCCTCTTTTTGGACGAGACTTTTCCTGGTGTATTTCCAAAATTATCAGCATCTTCAGGTTTCGTGGGTGTTTGGTTTCTAGTTAAGGACTCCCGAGGCAGACGTGCTCTTCTGTCGGCCTTGAAGCCTCCGCTGCCATCCAGATTCTCAGGTTCATCCCCGTCTATAGCACGCAGGTCTCCACTCCGACGTGTTGGTGTGGAACTTTGTTGGGAACGCCGTCTCGGGGTCCCGGTCTTCCTGGCCTCCATGGGGGGGCCACTAGGACTCAGGGTGACCTTGGGCGTCTGAGCAGGCCCCTCCCCCGTTGTCTTCCCCATCTGGCCACTTCCTTGTGCCCCCGAAGCGGAGGGGTCTGCTGTACCCTGGCTGCCTCGGCCGGATGTCCGCCTGGACTTCGGGGAGACCAGCCGTGGGGTCTCGCCCTGTAAACCGTCTGCGCTCTCGTTTTCCGCGGCGCAGTGACTCCGGGACGCGGATTTCCGACGACTCCGCAGCACATTTTCTTTCTCTGGTCTCATGTCTAACTCTTCCTTCATTGACTCATAAAGCTTCCTAAAGGGAGATTCGCTTTCCTCACTATTCTCAAGACACTGTGTAGACGGAAACGGCTTCAATTCTCCATTTCTGCTCAGTGGTGTCACTCTGGAAACTTCTTGAGCATCTCCAGCAGCGGGATCCGCTGCCTTTCGGCCGTCATCTTGGGAGAGATCTGAGGGATGAACTCTGGGTGTTTCCCTGGCAACAGGCTCTTCCGAGGCACGTGAGACGGGCCGGGCTGCTCTGACCTCCCCCACGTGCACCAGCCGCCTTCCCAAAACACTTTCTTCAGTGAGTTTTGCACAGGTCTTGGGATCTTGAACTTTCCCATCTTGACAGTGAGGGATGAAAATAAGAAACAGAAGTTGAAGTTCAAGAGTCTCAATAATTAACATATGCAGTTTTCAAATTTTAAAACCGTTTAAAACTGTCTTATAACCTAGCTTTTCACAGCCTGCAAGTTACTTAATGCCCAAAATGCGTAATAACAGTATTCTGATACTAGCATTGTGGTCCAACTGAATCAATCACATTAGCCTCCTATGACCAACCTAAGACTTCAAATGCTGTTATGTACTCAGAATTAAGCAGACAACTAGCAAGACAATTGGTTTATACGTGGGCTCACCAGTAAGCATGGTGCCCTACACAGCATTTGGAAAAAAGTCACCTTGGGTGTCTGCCTATGTTTGTGAAGCTAAATGATACAAGCTCCTAACTTCTGCAAGCCTGGATATAGAACCCGTGCATTCTTGTCCCTTCTTTGCCGTAATGCTAGAGAACTGCCTTTGCAGGATCCCAGGACAAAGCCCAGAATGACTCACCAGGGTTAGAGGAGAAGCCAGACATGGAGACCCGACGCGGAGACGCCTGCAAATTGGCAAGATGAGAGCGGTGATTTAGATGCCTTTTCCAGCACCGACAGTCAGATTTATTAAAATATCCTTCCGAGTGACAATCTTCTTCACCAAACTGGTCTTATATGACTTTTAGGGGCTGAGAAGAGCCCAAGACATTCAGGTGCTAGCACTCCTAGTACAAGTATTTCCTAGCTGATTTTTAAAAATATAGTGATGGAGTAAGAAACAAACTTGAAGCTGAAAATCATTTAAACTGAACCACAATGAGTTTTCATAACTTCCTCAAACTTCTTTCCTGCCATCATGTGAAGGAAAAGCCAACGTTAAAATTGGCCATCACCTACACTCAGTATCTGTGAACCTACCAAAGGTACAGAAATACTGACTTTATACCCGGGTTCAGCAGAAATGGGCTGCAGGACGTGTGGATGAACTCAGGCCCCACTCAGCTTGTGTGCTTCTGGCTGGGAGATACTCAGGGCAAAGCCACAGCAGTGAACCCATGGCACGGTCGCCTCGGAGCACAGGGATCACACCCAGTACACCCATTGGACCGGTAACGGTGCCTTCACAGTCTTCCACGGGGAACGTTTTAGGGGCCTGAGGAACAACTACAGAATAACTTGCTTAAGATATAGAAGTCCAAAGGTGTTCCAAAAGAGGAAAAATATTATCATCTGAATCATTAGGGGGGAAAAAAAATAAAATCTATCCAAAGGCAAAGAATTTAACTTCTTTCTTTAATCTATTTCAGATTTTTTGGTATCTAATGCATTGCTTCTCAAACTTCCCATGTGAAGGATCAGTTTCTAATTTCCAACCTGAAGTTGACCAAGACTCTTATGACTAAACAATAAAAATGAATTTGAATTTAAAAATATGTACAAAATACAAACCCCTACTTTTTGTACTATTATATTCAATTGCCATAAAATTAACTGTCAAACGGCTATACCATGTTCTATGCATTCATTTTTAGTAATTTATGACAATGCAGATAATAAACATAGACCACTGAAACCACGTATCAAACCCGCAGTCCAGGTTTTTGGTTGGTTGGCTCCCTTACACCTACCAAGTCAGAATGGTGGCTGGTGGGTGGAATACCTGAAAAGCTAGCTGTCCCCCAAATCTGAGGAGCAGGAGGGTCAATAAGGTCACTCCTCCAGGACAGAAACAGCACTTAGGTGGAGCAGAGCGCTTCCATCACCTGTTGCTGCTTTCAGGTGCCCCTGCAATTAGCCAGCGAATTCCAACCTGGCCACAGGAGACTAGCTCGGGTAGCTTCGTAAAAAGTAAGAAAGATAGAAATTCTCAGGATTTCCCTTAAACCTTCTAAGTCCAACTAAATTTCCACAGATGGGCCCAGAATAGCATTCTAACCAGCTGCCCCATTTGGGGTACGTTTCCCCCACTGATGGACACGAGTCGTAAGATTCTTTCCCCTGACACAGCGTGGTAACTGTCTTCCAGTGTCATGGGTCACCTGTCCATCAAACGTGGGCAGCACTGCCGGCACTCACAGCTCTTGATGTGATTACTTCAGAGGAATACAGATAGGTGAGGACAATAACACTGCCAGGCAACGCGAGCCACTGGATAATGTATTCCAGAATTTTAGTCCTAGGCGTCTGGGTTGTCTTAACCAAAGGTTTGTAACATCAGATCACGAGAAACTCTGGGCCCAAAGTGTAAGACTGGCTCAGTCCTCTCATTTTGAACAAAAGAGGCAGTCTAGTTTTCAGTTATTTTAATCTAAGCTCAATTTGTTTTAATACCTTGGCTGCACTTTTCCTACTATAACTGGTAAGTCATCTTCCCTTGGGAGAAACCACTCATCAGCGTGCATATACATGATTTCCTATCATCATGCAAAAGATGGGTACCCGCCCCCCACTTCACCTGTTCACGTCTTTGTCCTGGAAATTCAGTTGATGTGCTTCCATTCTGATGACTTTCATTTTCATACCTGAAGTGTATAGAATGACAGACACATATTCAGACTACAGATTTGTAACCGATGATAAAGCCTGCATATCTGATTAACGTCCAAGGAGCAAGGAACTTCAGGTTTTATTCAAGGTATTACCTTATTCCTGGAAATAAGTTTAGAGTTAGGAAAGTGTTTTTATACTAAACTATTATACTTAGAGAAATTGCCTCAAGTTTCTGTTGGAACACCAATGCCCGAGGCTGGACACACCGATTTGTTTCTAAACACTGACTAGCCTGTATAATTCAGCATCCCTGAGTACCTCCTATGTGTGACCCGACTGCATACGAGAGCAGAATCGGGGTTCCGCTAGTTGACGTTCATGGACATCATCTGATGACTTAGAGGTCAACCTGGAAGCCCTGTGGCGACTGACGCCCTGACCACCGTGTGACAACACTGGAGTTCTGAAAGGAACTAGAGCTCTTCTTTAACTTAAGATCACTGCAATCACCTCTTCAGTTTCCCACTTATTCCATCTGTATCCGAATAAAGTCACACATAGTGTATGGGGTGATAGATATTAAGCAAGATACACAGTTGTCCTCACAGACCTCAGGTATGGATTCACAGGGCATTTCAAAATGCAGGCGGAACTTGGGCACCTCAGTGAAACGGCCCGATTTGAATTTGGAGGCCACCTGAGTCAGAGCTGAGGCAGCAGGGCATCTGGAATTGTTTCTCAAGGAGCAGGTCTTCAGCGAGCCCCTCCTGCTGAGATCCAGTTCCCGCTTATTATTGGAGGGATTCAATCTTAAATCATCTCAGTTTGAACAGCATCTCATGTGGGAAAAATAGTCCTGGTCTCTTTCTACATCAAATACTTCCTACCCAGAAGTCTCTATTCAACAAAAATACTCTTTAAAAATGAAGGCAAATCCACAAAAAGCACAGTAGAAGAAATGACCAGGATGTCCAAATGGTACATTAGGAAGTTTCTATTTAGTACAAGTGAAGGCTGTCATGAAGGTGGAGTTCCACTTAGCAGAAGAGGTGGAAAAATGACCCTACTATATGTTTCTACAAGAGACACAATTTAGACCCAAATAGGATGAAATAAAAAGGATGAAAGTAAAAAATATACCATGTTTCCCCCAAAATAAGACCTAGCCAGAGAATAAGCCATAGCATGATTCCTCCAGGATGTGGAGGGCACGCACCCCTCACATGAGGGTTTTATGACCTGTTTCAGGGAGAAGGGTGCCTGTTCCACAAACTCCTTCAGCTTAAAATATTCAGTATGCCAAGGTGCCATATTTTGGCACCTAAAGTCATGCGAGGGCTTATTTTCCGGCTAGGTCTCAGTTTTGGGGAAACAGGGTACCATTCAAACTGCAACCAGAACAGAGCTGGACAGGCTATACTAATAGCAGACAAAATAAACTTTAAGGTAAAAATTGTTCAGAGACCAAGCACATTTTATAATGATAAAAGGGTCAATCTGTCAAGAAGAAAACCAATCACAAAAGTACACCGAACAGCTGCTTCCCAGAGACCACCTAAACCTTAAGGATTATGAAAAGTTGGAAGTATGTGATAGAAAAATCTGTAGTATGCAATCACTGATCAAAAGCATTACTAAAGGCACAGGGTATTTCAAAATGATAAATGATAAAGCTTTATCCACCAGACTAGAGCCCCTATATTGGAAGCATTTAAAACTGACAGAGCTAAAAAACAAACAAACAAAACAAAGTCCTCAGTGCGTGACTTTAACTTACCTGTCTGAGTAACTAAGAATCAGGGGGAAAATGACTGATTCTAGAGTTAGAAATTTGAATCAATGGACATAGAACACTGCCCCCAGCAGCTAGAGAATACATTCTTTTCAAACACACAGGACAGATCAATAAAAAATTAACCATTAACCATATCTGACCGTACAGCAAGCAAACCCTGACTCATTTAAAAAACTGGAAGTGCCTCAAATGTCCGTCTAGGATGAATAAATTTTATATCATCATGTATGTAACTGTCTATATCATTCCAGTGAAATACTATGGAGTGAGACATCCGTTCCCTGAATCTCACCACCACAAGAGCAGAAGTCAATACAAATATGTACTTTGTTATTTCAAATTTATGGAGTTTAATAAGACCAACAAAACTGTAGTGGTTAGTTAGGGATGCAGGCTTAGGGAGTGACATACCGAGGACTTTTATGCTATCAGAAAGCCACACTCATGATTTACTTGGTGAGAGAAAGCAGTGATTAGAAGATGCATGAAAGCAGCCTCTGGCAATGTTCTAACTATGCTCAGGTGGTGGATTAGTTTGCTGGTTTGCTGGGGCCATTGTAACAAAAAATCTCACACTGGGTGGCTTGAATGACAGAAGCTTTTTTTCTCACTGTTCCGGAGGCAGGAAGTCCAAGGTCAAGGCGCTGCAGGGTTGGCTTCCTCTGTGCCTTGCTTCTTGCCACCTCTTCACAAGGCCATCCCTCTGAGCAACTGCTTCCTGGCTTCTCTCTGTGTCCTCATCTCCTCTTCTTATAAGGACACCAATCAGACTGGATCCAAGCCCACACTAAGGCCTCATTTTAACTCCATCTTCTCTTTAAAGGCCCTAACTCCAAATAGTCACATTCTTAGGTGCTGGGGATTAAGGCTTTAACACACGAATGCTGGGGTCACCAGTCAGCCCACATGTGATGATCACAGAGCTGTTCGCTTCATCTCATTTTGTACCTTTCTCTGTGAGTATATATTACTTTAAAATAAAAGAGAAACTAAAAAACGTATGCAGTTTCACAGCACAACCAAATGAAACTCCTTTAGGACCAGGTCACCCTTGTTTGGCAGTTATCTACGCTCAAATCCTTGAACTGGACCACATAAGACCCATTATGTCAGTATGACTTTAGATTAAGAAGTAGCTCAAACACTGACCTTCCCTCGCGTTAAAGAAGGATCTCGGATGATGGGCAAGGCTAGTTTGTGGTGAATCAGAAGGCCCACTCTTTTTAGTCTAGCTGGCTTCCACCTACCTGAAAGAGCGATCAACGATAGTTATCACATCTCCGTGTTTTAGTTGTACAGGTTTGTCAATTGCAGAGCCATTCACCTGTGTTGGATTTGTGGAACTAAAATTAAACAATATTGCCTACGAGGAGAAAAAAGGGAAAAAATAGGTAACAAGTAGATAAACAGTAAACAGAGTAGTTTTTAAAACCAGACTTCCAAAACCCCATTTACCTTCTGCTCATTGACCTCAATTTTGCAATGCTGCTTTGACACCACAGGAAGCTGGATACGAATGTCACATTCGATACCCCTTCGTGGAAAAGAATTAAGATTTGTTTTAGGCTGTTTCAATTTTTAAAAACATTACATCAATGTTTAAAATAAAACAGCATTTGACTCTGTTTGATCTATAAATATTATGACAGAAGAATGACAAACTGGGTAATGTAAGTGATCTTTGAATTTAGCCAATGATTTTTACAAGCATTGTATAAGCAACTACTATATATCTTTAAAACTTACAGTACTTAAAAATATTAGAATATAAATTGATTGCCTTTTACTAAAATGTCTATGCTTATGAGACCCAACTACAGAGGGTGCCAAAAAAATGCATACACATTTTAAGAAAGGAAAAGACTATTAAAATTGTAATGCTCAATATATACCAATAACAAAAGATGAGTACAAGTCATGTGTATACATTTTTTTCTGGAACCCCCAGTGTAAGAGTGTTTTACATCTGTTTGAAGAATGAGAAATTACTTTTAATACTCTGCTTTCTCTTCCATAAAAAGGTTTGTGTACATTTATTTGTAACATACACAAACGTATATTTGAAAATTTAATCATCACCAAAAGTGCTATTATATGCCAGAACCTCTGTGTGCCTCAGTTTCTTCATATACAGAGAATTACATTAGCACCTATATCAGGTGTTCTTCAAACGATCAAATGACTTACACACGTCTGTCATTTGCCTGACACACAGTACATGTTATTACTTATGAGCCTTTTATTGTTGCTTTTAAAACTACATTCTATTAACTGACAGGTTCACAAGTTTCTTATCACTGAAAATACTAATCTGAAAACAATAAAAAAACATTCTCTAGATTCAACTTGTCTTTTCACAAAAAGCCACTATCAGCAGGAAGCACTGGGAGAATTCCTAGACCCACAGAAGCTCCTCAGAGGTCCTCCTCAGTGAGGCTCCCTGGGTCTCTGGAGTTCCCATTGTCGCCCTGTGCTTTTATAAGTTTCAACAACTATATACCGTATTTGCCGGCGTATAAGACGACTCGGCGTAGAAGACGACCCCCTAACATTTCCACTCAAAATACAGAGTTTGTTATATGGTCGGCTGTGTGCGATTTTGCGAGTGTGGTAAAATCGCATAACAGCAAAATCGCATAACAGCCGAGCATACACCCAGCAGCGCTGCTGATGCCTGAACGGTATGTGGAATGAAGTGGGCGGGCATCGGGAGGCCACTATGGCACGGGGCAAGCACTATGGGCAGTCTATCTGAAGTGTACCTGGCATATAAGACGACCCCCCACTTGGAGGCATATTTTTCAGCGCCAAAAAATCGTCTTATACGCCGGCAAATTATGGTACTCTCCTCTCTGTTGTCAGTATGAACCTCGAGAGTCTAAGATGTCTCTTCCTACCCATGTCCAATGGCCAAACACAAATTACAAACTCTCACACAAAAATATATTTAATCACTGTTGTGTAATAACCAGAATTACTGCCATTTGATACCAAAATGTTTACACACACACACACACACACACACACACACACGGTGCCAAAAAAATGTATACATATTTTAAGAAAGGAAAACTGTGTTAAAATTGTAATACTCAATAAATACCGATAACACAAGATGAATACAAGTCCCGTTTGGCTTCTACAATTGCAAGAGGTGCTCAAAGTGGTTCCCATCAGCCTCCAGACACTTCTGATTACGGTGAACTACTTACTGCTTGAGCACACATAACATCTTTTAAAAATGTGTATACATTCTTTTGGCAGCCCCGAGATATCTATCTATCTATGGTGTCCTGAGAAGGAGCACTTTCCCTCCCATGTTCATTTGTCCAAAAACACCAGCCAGCGGTATAGGAGCCACCTTCCTCCATTTGCTCAAGTGTCCCCCAGCAGTCAGCGAATGCCACCTTTGGAGGGACTTCAGATAAACACAGTTGTCTTCTAAAGACTGCCCCAAGTGAATCAGGACTTGAGAATCATGTATATTTTTCTCCCTTTACAGATGTCTATCAAATCAATTTTAACATGATTAAAAACCAGTTAACATATAAGCCTTGTTTTCAAAATTCTTTTTGTACTAAACAACCGCGTCAAGTTGACAATACACAGGAAGTCCAGAGCAAATGTGAAGGCAGGAACTACTCCCACAGCCATGTTATCAGTCTGTTAATCCGTGATTAGGAAATTCAGGTCTTTTAAGCTAAATCGTCCACGCGTGCGCAGGGCTCACCTTCCAAACAAGCAGGTGCTGAGGCTCAGTGGAAAGTGGGGGCCGTCGACCCCGCTCCTTTTGATGGTAACAAGGTGTCCTGTAGGACCCATTTTCTAAACAAGAATTTGAGTACAATCCGTATAGGTCTGGCATCAAAAGGTTTGCTGAAGCAAACTTTACCAGCAACTCTTCCACGGCAGGAATAAGCGACTGAATAAAACAGCAAAAATAGAACACGCGGACGCGCGGGGGGCGTGTTACCCTGAAAGCGGAGCTAAGAAGTCACTTGTAAATGACCGACGGGGATTGCTTGTACAATGCAATCCCCCCATGCCCCTGCCACCCCGACCCACACCTTATGTGACACCTGCAGGAGCCCCGAGCCAGGCCCTGGGCTGCCCCCCGGCACCCCGAAAGACCCGCGGTCAGGGTCTCTTCTCCCGGGAGTTCCCACCGAGCCCCCGAGCCCAGAACGAGCCGAGTCCAGGACGCGCTCCCCGCAGAGCCTGGAGGGGTCTCCGCGGCTCCGGTCTGCGCCCCCGTGGTGCCCTGACTCACCCAGGACGACTCCCCGCACCGTCACCAGCGGATCCACCGCTCGTCCAGGCGCAACCCAATTCCACGCGGTGAGCAGCCCGCGAAGTGTCCGCTTGCACCCGCCTCCCCGCCCAGCGCTACCAGGTCCGGGGCTCAGCCCGCGGGCCCGCGCTCACCTCTGCCGCGGCCGCAATCCCCGCTCCCCCCGCCGTCGCCCTCGCCGGCGACCCGGTGGCCCGCCCAGCTACGTCCCGGAGGTGCCCGGCGTTGGCGGCGCGGGCGCGGAAAGCCGCCCGCCCCGTTCGCCCGATTCAAATGAAAACAGCGATTCGAATTTGGCGCAAAGCGCTGCGATTGGACGGGCGGCGCGGCGGCCCACCAATGGGAAAGGGCAAGGCCGGGGACGGGGCGGGGCTAGCAGAGAGTGGCGGGCTCCGCCGCGAGGGGCGGGGCCGCGGGCCTCCCTGGCGCCCGCGGAAGGCGCCTTCTCGGGGTTCTCGCTGGGGACTGCGCAGGACAGGCGGAAATGGGACACGGCCCCGCCGCCGCCGAACCTGTCTTGCCTCCTCTTCTTTAAGGACCAAATGCAATTGTGCAGTTAACGATTGCACACAATATGTTACTCGTTGCTGGAGGGTTTAAAAATGTTTAGTTTCTACAGCTCCCCAAAAGATAACCCATCATTATAAGCAGTTTCTGTGTCTTTTCCTGGTTATACATGTGTTTTCTTTCAAAACACACTAAAAAGACCGTACATACAACAGTATCCACTGTTTGACCTGTGTGCTCCCTGCTTAATAGACCCGGAGGCTGTTACTATTGAACGCGTCTCCCCCTTTTCCTTTCTTTCTGAGGCTGCGGAGCATTCGGCTTTAGAAACCATCATTTACCTGACCACCACTATTGCTATTCGTTTAGGTTTACAGTGTTTTCCTATTAGATAAAAAATCTCCAATGTAAAAACCTTGTGCATGACAGAATGGACGAATTCTAAAATGACCACAGGATTCCTCCCGGGGGCACTTGCCGGGTGGGGGCGGGGGCTTCTGTGGGTCCCGGTGTCAACGGGGTGCGAGCCAGGGACTGGGTCCAAAACGTGCCCTCCTTGCTTGCCGCCTCCCCTTCCCGCACGACCCGCACCCCTTGGCGCTTGGCTCCCCTTGATCAGGACTCTCCCCCTGTAGTCTGGGGACACCTGAGAGCGTCTGAGATCCTTGTAGGGGGTCCCTGACGTGAAGACCCTTTTTGTCACCACGCCAGAAGCTCTTCTTCGCCCCTTGCGCGCATTTCCTCACGAGTGGAAGGCGGGGTTTCCCACGGGCGGAAGCGGGAGTGAGAATCCAGCTGTCTTTTACTAAATCAGGTATTCCAGAGAATTGCAAAACGATAAACTAATGCTGTTCTTTCCAGTATTTTTTTTTTGGATGTTGATAGATTTCATTAAACATGCTTTTTATGTTAACATGACATGAGTTCGTCATTGTCGTAAAATGAATTGACAGATGAAAATTTTAAAATTACTCAGTTAATAACCTACATAAACAAAAATCTCTTAGTGGTCTTCAGTGATTTTTAAGAGCATAAAGGGACCCTGAGACCAAAAAGTTTGAGTCTTTCTGCTCGTGAGCGACAACTCAGGGACTGCCTGCCTACGGAAAAGCTGGGAATGCATCGTGAGTGTGCACCTCCAAGTCCGCCTGGGACAAGGCTGGTGTGGATAATGCAAGTGCCCGGGTGCCATGAACCTTCTCAGGGGATTGCTTTCCTTGTCCTCCCCCTTTACAGCATCAAAGAAAGCTCGTCTCCGAACAGCCCCGCAAAATGCTGCTTTTGTCAGTCTAATTGCTGCTTGTTATCAGGGACGGTTCTGTGACCCACCCTCAAGCAGCCTAATTAGAAGTAGGAGGTGCTAGACTTCCTGGCAGATAATCTCCCCAACACTGCCACACACACGTTTAGCTCTCTAGAGAGGGCAAGAAATTAAAGGGAGGATTTAGGGGTTTGTCTGAGTGATGGGGCTTAGCTCTGTGGCTCTGCCCCCTTCAAAACGGTGATACACGTTAGCAGTGGTGCTTCTGTTGGGTTGGAAGCTTGGCCCACAGCGTCGGAGTTTCTTAAAGCACAGATCTCGTTCCCGTGAGAATCCCACGAACTACACGCAGGGGTGGCGTCTGGACCCCAAGCTCCTCTCCTGCGCTATGGAGGCCTTGAATAAGGCGAGGGATAGGGGCCTTGTGGTTAGAGCACCGCCGATCCGGACGGACAGGAAACAGCTTTGGCCGGGGGGTGTGGGGATGATGGTGTCTGCGGAGCTGGGGAGTTTTCCAGGAATCAATGTCTAGATCTTCACAGCCCACACTCACTCACGCTGGAAGTCCATCGGCCAGAGACAGCGCCCCAGGGCAGTCCGTCTGTCCGTCCGTCCCCCACCCCCAACCCCGCCTTCCTCCTGTCCCTTACCTCTCACCTCCTGACACTATGGAAATTGCCCCGGGCACCCTATAAGGCACCGTTCAACAATTCCGTGCCCTTCCACCCACCTGATGAGAGGGTGTATTTCCAATAAATTGAGTGTATGTCTAATCAGTATCGCATTTGGAATGTTGTTTGGTCATCTGTGTTCCAGTAAATTTTTTACTGTCATCTCTGACACCAGGTGGTGGAGAGAGGGGCCGCGGAGGGAGGCGCAGGGCAGGGTGCGTTGTGCCCCTCCACAAGTGCGGTCTGGGGGGCCCTCACGGGCAAGGGGGCAGGTGCTCCCAACCCACAGGACCCCACGGTTCCAGCCAGGCGCCCTGCGACCTGGGACGCTCAGGTGGCTGCAGGTAAGGGGTAGCTGCGTCAACCAGGGGAGCCCACAGACTCCCCATCTTCACTTCCCCTCTCTTGTCTCTTAATAACCACTCTGCCCTGGCCAGTCTTCCAATCAGGGGAGACATGGACCTTAAAGTGGGATTCAGGGGACGGGAAAGTTGGCCCAGGGGTGGGGCTGGGGTCCTTCTAAAATGGATCTGGTGCGCCCTTTCCTCCTGGAGGACAGCCACATCGCTGAGAACCCGGGCCCCCTAGACATCTCGTGGCTGACAGCCACCAGCCACCATGCCCAGGCGGTGACCAGGACCCACAGTCAACCACCAGCCCAAAGTTGACTTGCTTCCTGGGGCCCAAGCCGGGGTGGGTCCTGCCTCTGCTCCTGGCCTCCCTGAGCAGGATCCCAGTGGCCTTTCTCCCAGGTCACTCAGCGCTTACCTCCCCCTGGACTCCTTCACCGACCATTCCCTATTGCCAGCAAGCCCCAGGTGGGGTGAGCAGGTGGTCTGTGGGGTTGCCCCTCCCTGCCTTCCCAGCCTCTGTCCAGCTTAGATTCCTTGGCCCTTCTGCCTGGCCTGCCTGGGAGGGGCCTAGATCATAGCAGCTTTTCCCAAGGACCCTTGGGACCATCTTATTCCCCTGACTCAAATTCTATCAGCACTCCCCCACTCCTAAGTCCCCACTCTGAAGATGATGTGACATAACTGCTGAGCTCAGGGACCCCAACTCAGGAGCCTCTGTAGAGCAATCACCATAGAATGAGCTGCTGCAAATTAACTCCAGATCACGTGACTTCCTCTCTTTCAGTATACCTTTCAGAGGCTGCTAATTACTTTCAGAATACAACCCAAACTCTGCCAGGACCACTGAGGCCATATGTGGCCTTCTGGACCACGGTTGAGTCCACTCCTTGTGCTGCAGCCACCTGAGCCCCTCCCTTCTGCAAATGCTCAGACCCTTCTAGCCTCAGCCCCTCCCTCCTCCTGGAGGTGGAAAGAGACCTGGCTTTGGTACTGGATGAATCACTCTTAGGACAGAGGCTTTCAGAACTGGCCCGGATGTACCCTGACCAATGAAGACTGGCTCTTGCCAAGGGGCTTTCTACATCAACCCTACGTGCCCCCACCCGATTTAACCTGGAGAAAAGAAGTCGGGACTAAATATGGCATCAAAAACCATGAATGAGGGCCGGCTGAGTGGCGCGATGGTTAAGAACTGGCTTGGGACGCCAGAGGGCCCGGTTCAGATCCCACATATGAGGGCCAGTGACACTGCCCTCTACAGCTAAGATGCTGAACAACAGCTCAACCTGGAGCTAGGCTGCCATGAGTCGCCGGCGACAGCTTAGGTTGCAGCCCCTGTGGCAGTGGGTTGCCATGGGCTACCGTGTGTAGCCAGCAGCCAGCGTGAGCGGCCATCCAGAAGCCGGCAACTGATCTGCCTCGCCCGGGAAGAGAGCAATGATGGTGCCAACTTGGGCCAGTGAAGCAACGTCCTCCACAACTAGACTGAAGAACAAAACGACAGCAACTTGTCTGTTCCCCTTCCCCCAATTCCCCAGCACTGTTCCCATCCCCCCAATTCCCCAATAAAAAAAATCTTAACAAAAAAACCATGAATGAAAATTTGAAAACCACATATTTAATTTAAGAAGCTAACGGTGTATATTTTCATTATAGAATATTTGGGAAATATACAAATGTAGAAACATGAGTCACCTGAAGACGTACAACAAATATAATCGTGTTTTTGTCTGAGTAATCTTTATGTTACATTAGAAGCATTACGTATCTGTGTATACAAGCACACATCATTTTATTTCTCAAGCTTTCATTCACCATTATAACAAGCATTTTCTCATTCACGTTTGGTGAATAACACTTTCAGGACCTTATTTGCCTGTGTTAAAACAGTTAAGGTTTTTCCCCCCAGTATTTTATTATTACAAATAATGCAGTAATGAACATATTGAGCAAGACCCCTGTTTTCGTAAACCAGAGTATGTTCTTAGTTTACATCTCCCACAATCCAGTTGCTGGATCAAATAATATTTGCCTCATATTATCTAACTGCTTGCTTTTCAAGAGGGTTGTAACAATCTATCTCTCGAGGTCACTGCTTCAGAAAGCCTTCAAACTACCAGCTCTCTGCATTCACACTTTCAATTTGCTGCTAATTTGATTAGCCAAATATAGAATATGGTTTCAACTTGACTTTTTTAAAATTATTTTTTAAAATTATTAAAATACAGCTAACATACAGTACTATATTAGTTTCAGGGGTACACCATAGATATTTAACATTTATATACCTAAAGAAGTGATCACCATAAGTCC